GATGAGATGCCTCAGGACGTGTTCCTCATTCGAAGGAAGCTCAATCCAGATGTGAATCCCCGGGCTAACTTCCGAGGCAATGATCTCTTCTGGACCAAGTAGCAGAATCTTATCTATCTAGATGTGATCAAGGCCAAGCAGAACATCTACATGGAAGTTCACTAGATTGACATGCATCATATGAGGTAGGACAAGAACCGTGGCTACTTTGGAGAGGCCTTGGATCTAGTGGAGCAGTTCAGCATTGAGCACATGCTTACTTTTCACATGGACTTTGATCCAGAAATTGTGGCTCAGTTCTTTGCTTCGGTTCACTTTGACTTCGATGAAGCAAGGACCATGACTTGGATGACCAATGGTCGGCGGATGTTTTCTAAATGGAAGGAGTTCATGGAGTTGCTTCAAGTTCTAGATGAAGGGCTCGACACGCCCGTTGGAGTCCGCCCTCATGCCAACTCTGAGTCTACCAACAAGAACAAGCTCGTGCCCTTCCTTGTTCAGAAGACTCTTCCCAGCAAGAAGCATGTGTGGGTGCTGAACCCCTTCCTTGACAGCATGCATCGGCTCTTCCACAACACCCTCTTCCCACGCATTGGTGACATGGGCCAGGTGCATGCTTACCTTATTGACATGATGCTCATTTGTGAGGAGGCTCGTCAGGCTCAGACTCGGCCACTTGATGTCTCACATATCACGTGGTGTGAGCTTCAGTTTGCCGTGTTCAACCGTAAGGTCCCCATCTATGGGCCTTACCTGTTTCACTTGATCTCCAAGTCTTGGGAGAAGCTCTATCCCAATGATGAGTTTGAAGCCTCAGGCTGGATTCGTCATGAGCCCATCAAGCTCCGCATTAAGAGCCAATGGGATAACACCACCACTACTGCTGAGGCTGCCAAGATGGCTGTGGATGAGGAGGAGATTGAGGAGGAAGAAGCTGTTGAGGACCGTTCTGCTGGTTACACTCCTCCCTCTGCTGAGCCCTCTTGGGCGAAGAAGCTGAAGATCAAGATGAAGAGGTTGTTCTGCATGCAGACCCAGGGTCAGTACAAGGCCTATGTTGCTCAGAAGGAGTGTTGCCATCGCGACAAGAGGATCTTGAGGGCGTTCGGCGAGGACGTGTCTAGCGGATCTGAGAAGCACATCACCCCCGAGGCTGCCTGGATGGCTAAGCAGGGCTACAAATGGACTGATTCTGAGGAGGAGACCATTCCTGCTGCTGATTCTGGCGACGAGGAGTCTTTTTCCGCCTGAGCTACCACCTTTGTCGTAGGTGCCCTCTCTGCCTTTTTGGTGTCTCGATGCCAAATGGGGAGAGAGTGTAGGATTTGCGTGTCGTGTGTCATGTGTTTTGCCTTGTCGCTTTGCTTTCCGTCTGTTGAACTTAGTTTGCTTTTGGTTTGGTTGTGCTTGTGAGACTAAGTTCTATCATATGGTGTAAGACATATGCACTCCTACTTATCTTTATGTCTTCATTACTTAGTAATATCTATCTTCTTGCCTACTTCCTTAGTGATGTTTTTACTATTGCAAGAGATGCCTTGTCTATAAAATATATGGGGAGTGTTGATCCTAGTATGTGTGTCGTGCAGTCCAAAGCACATCTCTAGAATGCACACATCTAGGGGGATTCCGTCTATGTTTTAAAGATGGTGGGTTTGCCGATGCCTCATTTGTTATCTCTATGTGCAAATCCCGTATTGTCATCAGTCCACCAAAAAGGGGGAGATTGTAAGGGCATACTTGTCCCTTAGTAGTTTTGGTGATTGATGACAATGCTTTTGCAGACTAATCATGTGCATTGAGATTTTCAGATATATCATGACTAAACACAAGACAATTTGATGCCCCTCGAAGATTATTGAAGACGGTGTTTCTTTTCGGTGGAGTTGAGTCGTAGGAAAGCCATACTATTAAGAGGGGGTCCGCTTTGGAAAGGTTTGGGTGGAATCTCACGTACACGTTCCCTTTGCACCACCTTTCTTTTGGCTCTTTGGAGTTTCCTCCGTCTCACCATGTCTCTGCGAAATGAAGGACTCCGAGTGTTGTTGTTCACAGGCTGGCAGTAGTACTGCTCCACTGAGCGGTACTACCGCAGGCGCCAGCGGTAGTACCGAACTCCGACACGGTAGTACCATGGGCTCCCACGGTAGTACCGCTCCTTCTGAGCGGTAGTACCGTGTGCTCTGGCCTAGCGCTGCTACGCAAGCGGTAGTAGGGGCGGATGTAATTTTTTACATCCGCGCCCTACGCGGTAGTACCATGCTCTGGCGCGGTAGTACCGTGCCGCTTGGCCAGGCACAACAGCATGAGCGGAGGTAGGGGCGGATGTCATTTTTTACATCCGCACCCTAGACGGTAGTACCGCACCTGGGTTGCGGTAGTACCGTGTCGGATTTTTGCATCGATAAAATCTCAACGGAGGTAGTCACGGATGTAAATTTTTATATCCTTGCCTACCGTGCCTGGACCGTGGCTGCCCTGCGGTAGTACCGCATGGTGTCGTGGTAGTACCGCGCCAGCGGTTCTACCGCACCCTGTCAGTGCTCATCTGTTCAGGTCCAGGCTCTGCCGCGCCCACGGTAGTACCGCGGGCCACCGCGTTAGTACCGCTCCTGTGGTGTGGTAGTACCGCGGGTCGCGGGCTGAGTGGTGGGTAACGGTTGGAATTGTCCCTCCACTATATAAGGGGGTCTTCTTCTCCAAGAAGACTTACCACCTCCATCCCTAAGCTCTATTGTTGCTCCAATCTCCATTTTCACCTGATCTCTCTCCCTAGCCAATCAAACTTGTTGATTTGCTCGGGATTGGTTGAGAAGGCCCCGATCTACACTTCCACCAAGAGAAAATTATTCCCCCGACTAATCCCTTGCGGATCTTGTTACTCTTGGGTGTTTGAGCACCCTAGACGGTTGAGGTCACCGCGAAGTCATAGTCCATTGTGGTGAAGCTTCGTGGTGTCGTTGGGAGCCTCCAATTAAGTTGTGGAGATTTCCCCAACCTTATTTGTAAAGGTTCGGTCGCCGCCTCCAAGGGCACCAATAGTGGAATCAAGGCATCTCGCATTTTGTGAAGGTGTGAGGAGAATACGGTGGCCCTAGTGGCTTCTTGGGGAGCATTGTGCCTCCACACCGCTCTAACAAAGACGTACTTCCCCTCAAAAGGAAGGAACTTCGATAACACATCCTTGTCTCCATCGGTTCCCCTTTTGGTTATCTTTCACCTTTACTTGTGCAAGCTTATATTGTGTTGCATCTCTTGCTTGCCTGTGTGCTTGTTGCTATCGCATCATATACGTTGCTCACCTAGTTGCATATCTAGACACCTACTTTGATGCAAAGTTGAATTTGGTAAAGAAAAGCTAAAAATTGGAAGTTGCCTATTCACCCCCCCCCCTCTAGTCGACTATATCGATCCTTTCAAAGATATTCGTCGGCATAGTCAGCCGGAATGCCATATGCAATCAGCCGCATAGCTGCCGAGATTTTTTGATATGCGCTAAAACCATCAAGCCCACGACATTTCTCTTTTGAGTAAAAATTTGAGAATTGGCCTGCTTGCACTTTTTTTACAAAGAGGGATCGGAGCATTTGATACCTTCTCCGGAAGAGATGCGGCGGATATGTAGGATTGTCCGCGAAGTAGTCTTGCATCAACATCATGTCCCCGAGATGGCGGTTGCGAGGGATGCAAAGACAGTCGACGATCGATCCTCGAGCTCCTTCACGGCGAGGGCCGCCACCACCATCTGCCACCGATGGCTCTCGAGCAGTGACTCTACGTCCGAGTCGTCGCATGAGGACGAATCCTCAAGCAAAAGTTCCTCGCAAGGGCTCAAATCCATCTAGAAATCGCACAAAGCTCGCATGAATGGAAATTTCATCTACAAATCGTTCGCTAAGGAGAACTAGAAGGGGAAGAAAAGGGGAGTCAATGGCGGCGGTCGATCCGGGGCGGCTTGGCTCAGCGAATCCGGGGCGGGTGGGGACTCGGTGACGGTCGATCTGGGGACACAACGATTCGAGGCTCGGCTCGGCTCGGCGGATCCGGGGCGCCGGCGAAGCGGCGCAGTTGACCTGTGTCTAGAGCGGCCCCGCGACGGGATTCCGTCGGTGGATATGGCTGGAATCGAAGGCGGCGGGCGGGCGGCGACGGTGACGGGAGGCTGCGGGATGGGGGTGGGGAACGTGTGCGCTGAAATGTCTCTCCCGCCAACCGCTTTCGCGAGATACAGGGCACCGACGAGGCGGGGGACCGTGTTTTCGCGGTCGGCGGGGGCAATTTACGGCGTCCCTCAAAAAAATTACGGGTCGGACGCATTTACGGGAGATGTTTGTTCGGGCCACTTTTTTTTGCGTAAAACCATAAATTGACGGTTATTTTGCGGATCGGCATGATATAAGGAGTCTGCTAGAAATGTTTTAAGTAAAATAGTAATTCAGACGTTTGTGTTAATGAAATGGTTAGAGAGTGGGGGACCTGCGTGCACCCATAGTTATCGGCTTGATTAGCTGGAATTGTCGTGCATGCACGTGATACCTGCGTGCTTTTCCTGGGTGGTCCTAGTACTTTTACTTTTATTTACTTAAATTAATTAATTAATTGCGTGTGCGCCGATCTACAGGCAGAGGCAGGGTCCATGTACTCCCTCCGTTCCACAATGTAGTGCCTATAGATTTTTGTGGAAGTCAAACTTTGCCAACTTTGACCAAGTGTATAGAGAAAATTGTCTACATATACAATACCAAACATGTACATTCTGAAAATATAACTCACGATGTATCCAATGATGTGCATTTGGTATTCTAGATGTACCTATTTTTCTGTATAAACATGGTCAAAGTTTGTAATGTTTGACTTTTGTAAAAATCTATAGGCACTACATTATGGAACGGAGGGAGTATATCTCTCCACTCCCATTGATAACAGAGAGCATTGCATTTGCGTACAATCAGATCAGTAGACAGAGCTTCACACGCCCATAGCAACCAATTAATCAGGCCATGGAGGTAGTGACGGGTGCCATGGGAAGCCTGCTTCCAAAGCTGGGCGAGCTGCTTAAGGAGGAGTACAAGCTGCAGAAGGGCGCCAAGAAAGATGTCCAGTCTCTTACCAGAGAAGTTGCGAGCATGCAGGCTGCCCTTGGCAAGGTAGGGCAGATCCCGCGTGACCAGCTCGACGAGCAGGTCAAGCTATGGGCAGGAGAAGTCAGGGAGCTATCCTATGTCATGGAGGACACCATCGACACCTTTCTGGTCCGCGTCGAGGGATCTGAGCCTGAGGTCAACTCAGACGGCTCCGCCTTCGGTGCGCTCATGAAGAAGATGCTCAAATTGTTCGACAAGGGCAAGACTCGGCGTCAGATTGCAGATGCGATCAAGGACATCAAGGACCGGGTCCAGGAGGTTGCTCAACGGCGCAGCAACTACAAGATCGATGACATCGTCGCAAGTCCTCCTTCGTCGACCACCATCGACCCCCGTCTCTCGGCTCTCTACAACAAGATCACTGACCTTGTTGGCATCGATGAGCCGAGGGAGGAGCTAATCAAGAGGCTCGAGGAGGGTGGCGATGCAATCAAGGTTGTCTCCCTTGCTGGATTTGGGGGATTGGGCAAGACAACTCTTGCCAAAGCAGTATATGAAAGCTTGAGAGCACAGTTTGATTGCGCGGCCTTTGTTTCGGTGTCTCAGAATCCTGACATAACAAGGGTCTTCAAGAAGATGTTGCATCAACTTGACCATAAAAAATACGCCCACATCAACGAAGCATCATGGGATGAAACACAGCTCATCGATGAGCTAAGGGAGTTCCTTCGGACAAAGAGGTACCAATCAATGATTGCTTGTTTGCCAAAGCTTTTGTTTTTACTTTTTGTTTGAGACATTTACTTGATTGCTTTGTACTGGCTTAAAAGCCATCGTTTTCTTCCTTTCTGAACTGCTCCTCTTAGTGAGCTTATGTAATAACTGAATCTGGTCTGAATTTGGTTTCATTAATATAATGGAACCGGGGAAAGGCTCCCTGTTCTTCTAAAAAAATTATTTGATTGCATTATACACACATGAACACATAGAGTTGTTCTTATCTTGGTTTCTCCTCTAAACTCCCCCATATATACCCCCCTCACAAGGATGCAGAGTGAAATCGCCCAAGTGTTCGTATGATTCATTATATTTGGAGTAGGCGCATGTATAAGCACTGACACACTGGCCGTCAAGCGGACCATTGAAAAGCATGGCAAGAACTTTACAGGCCTGAAGCGGAGCCAAGCAGAGGAGCTTACAGAAAACTTGTTTAGAAAACAAAACATGTTTCTTTACCTTTCTTGAGATCAATTTATTATTTAAATTCTTCTTAGTTTTACTTTCTTCTCATTTTTTGGCTAAAACATTGAGTGGGCTCCGTCTGTACACCCAATGGCGGAGATTAAAACATATACCCCTTCGGATGGGAGGGTATGCTGGTCAAACTAATCAATCAATTAATCCAAGCATTTAGCCGACACTAAAAACCCATCGTATATGGATAGTTTGCATCCAAGTTTTTAAATATTTATTTAAACATACGTATAGATAGTCTGGACTGATAATTTTTTTTCCATATAAACGTACTCCTCTGTTCACAAATACAAGATGTTCTAACTTTTTTTCTGAATTGGATGTACATAAACGCGTTTCAGTGTGTTTGTTCACTAATTTCAGTCCGTATGTAGTCCGTATTGAAATATCCAAAACATTTTACAATTGTGAACGAAGGAGTACCTATTAACATATTGGATCATACACTGGATAGTCTGGACCTAAGTTTTTTAATATTTATGAAACCACTGCCACCGTCTCGTGATCTCGTCGGTTATAACATAATCTTTTACATGGCGACTGGTGAACCTATCCGATCGAAACAGATGACTGAATTTGATAGGGAAATGGAGCAAGTTGATTTGCAGCTGTCCTGCCTGTGCATGTCTTTTAGGTGCACTTCCTTTACACTCTTAAACGTGTAACTAAATTGATCACTATCTGATCTAAAAAAGTGATCACTATGTTACATGAAATTCCTGCCCATCGTTAACCATTATTATAACAATCATCTGTCTTTCACATAAATTGTTGGAAAAAATGAATAGCAAATGTTGATAGATGTATCTTCCATTGCAAATATTGCTCTGTCCTGTATTATATTGGAAATACCTCTGCTCTCTCTTTCTCTCTTGTTTGTATTATATTTGTAATGTTTTAAATTGTGCGTATATTTTACATCTAATGATGAATGACGTGGCTCCTTTATTTCCATACAAATAGGTACCTCATTGTTATCGATGACATTTGGAATATCCAATCATGGGAAATGATCAGATATGCTTTGGTTGAGAATAGTTCTGCAAGTAGAATAATCACAACAACCCGTGACTTTGATATTGCTGAACAAGTTGGAGGTTGTTACAACCTAAAACCCCTTGTCCTAGAGAGCTCTAAAATATTATTCCATAGAAGAATATTTGGTTCTGAAGAAAAGTTTCCTGAACATTTGGCTGAAATATCTATGAAGATTTTGAAGAAATGTGGCGGTGTGCCATTAGCTATCATTACCATGGCTAGTCTGTTGGCTGTACCTAGTAAGATGCTAAATCCAAGTGAGTGGTATGAGGTTTATCACTCGATTGGTTCTGGACTTGGAGATAGTCCAAGTGTGAAGAATATGAGGATGATATTATCACTTAGCTATTATAGTCTACCTTCCCATCTAAGGACTTGCCTATTGTATCTCTGTGTGTTTCCAGAAGATTATGAGATTCCCAGAGATAAGCTAATATGGAAATGGATAAGTGAAGGTTTTATCCATCGTAAAAATCCTGATGATAGCTTGTTTGAGGTCGGGGACAGGTATTTCTTTGAGCTCATAAATAGAGGCCTGATCCAGCCATGCTTCGGTTATCAGGACATTATGATAACGCATTGCCGTTTGCATGATATGGTTCTTGATCTCATTTGTTTCCTATCAAGTGAAGAAAACTTTGTTACTATATTGGATCATATGAAGAAAAGCGTGTCTTCCCAGATTAATATCCGTAGATTGTCGCTCCGAAAGACAAAGGCAGATGATCAAAGTACACATCTTGCTTCCATGAATTTATCACAAGTGAGGTCTATTACTGCATTTGGGACTGACAATAGTGGGATTCCTCCTTTTTCAAGATTTGGTGTTTTACGTGTAATGGATCTAAGTGGATGTCACCTTGGAGAAAACAGCCAGCATGACCTTAGGGCTCTTGGGAATTTATTTCACCTAAGGTACCTAGGTCTAGAAGGTACTAGTATCTGTGGACTCCCATCTGAAATAGAGAAGCTACAGTTTTTGCAAGTGCTGGATGTGAGTAACAATATAGGTTTAAAAGAACTGCCGGCGGCTGTTTTCAAGCTGAGAAGATTGATGTGTCTATATGTCGATGGTGTTTGCCAGAAGCTTCCAGATGGTTTGGGGAATCTGACGTCCTTGGAAGTGCTGACTACCATATGTGGCCACGGAAACATCATCCAAGAGTTGCACAAGCTGTCAAGGTTGAGGGTCCTTCATATTTGGTTATATGATTTCAGCTTGGAGTTTGAGGAAGCTTTTGTGGAGTGCCTGTGCAAGCTACAGAATATCGAAACTATATATTTCCAAGCCGGTTGTTCTTTTGGATCCATGGATCTGTTGGGGAAACGTTGGGTGCCACCCAGACATCTCCACAGCTTCGACTCATGTTTACTCGGCCAATTCCCTGGAGTGCCAGAGTGGATAAATAGAGATCACTCAAATCTCTCAAACCTCTGTGAGTTAAGACTCTTTGTCATGGTACTGCAGCAGGAAGACATAAGCGTCATTGGGAGGTTGCCATCTCTTCGTTCTCTCTACATAATGAGCTCACACCAGACGGAAAGGCCGCTGCTCATTGGCGCGGATGGTTACCGCAGTATGAAGGCCTTCAACTTGAGCTGTGTGTATTCTGGGCAAGTATTAGTATTTCAGCAAGGAGCTTTGCCCAATGCTACAGCAGTTGAATTGGACACCGGTGTTTGGCTTCCAAGAGATGGTGGTTTTGACCTGGGCCTGGGGAACCTGATGTCCCTTGGGCAGCTGTCGCTCACAATCCGTCGTGATGGGGTCACGGTTGCAGAGGCCAGGGAAATGGAGGCTGTGCAGAGGCACGCACTGGATGTGCATCCAAATCGCCCCAACACCACATTTCAAATGGAGCCACCTATTCCAGACCATTTGAGTGACCACTAGTCTATAACAAAGCTGTGCTCCGGGACCTGTTTTTTTGAAAAAAAAATCCGGGACCTGTTTTTGTTAAGCTTGATCGTTCGTCGATGATCATCCGTCTCTTTTTTTCCTTCCTCGACGCCGACCTCCACAATTTTATCGGGGCTGAGGATCGGTCATGACAAAGGGATGGATATTCGCCATTCGGATAGGTATGTACGTTTATCCACCTCACCAGTGATGCTGTTTTCTCTTTGAATCCTATCATCATGCCCCCACTTTTTTTTAATTCTTCTTTTTCCACATTCTTTCTCAGTGAAACCTTCGGTCATTGAGGAGGAGCAAGTTACTCTTGGCGGGCTTTATAACACCGGCCGTGTGTGTGCCTCGGTTTGCTACCAACCTTGTTCTTAATTATCATTATTACTTAGTATCTAGGAGTAGTAGTTACTACTTCACTTGATTCCTAGCTCTTGTATGCTTCTGTTATTAGTGTTGTTCTGCTACTACGTACTGCTCATGCCTTTGTTTCTCAACATTGATAGGTGTTTAGTTTCCTATCTTATGTTTTGCTGGCTAGTTGTGGCTATCTTGTTTTTGCTTGCATGCTCTTTGTGAGCATTTTTTTTGTTTTGTTTGAGACCTCAAGACTTATGTTGGACCTTTTGATTATCAATAATATGGCCGTATGCATCGTTCTGATGCAGAGGCCGAGGCAAACCCCCTTTTCGAAAAAAAGAAGAAGGAAAAAACTCGGCTGCAGCTCATTAAGCTGATTCAGCAAACAGTTACTGAAAGATGACAAGTTTAGGTGTTCCCTTTTAAATGTTTTCCACAAAAAATTTACAACTGTGCAAGTGGAAGCACGCTGCACCATCTATCGGAAGCTGTAGACTATGTTCAGAAGAATAGTACTTGTTGTGTGAGTGTGATGCCCCACCTGTTGTTTGGATGTTTTTCGTGCTTGAGGATAGCCATCTTCATCTGCAGCTTCAGATTCCTACTTTTTTCACCGACATTAACAAAAGAAAACCATCATGTATGCTGCCTAGACTCAGCTATACTCGTCCATTTCTTAATCAACGCCCAAATGAACTAGCAAAATCTTACTATTGCACGCATTGGTTATCTTCAACACACCTCGAACTAGTGCGGTATGTTAAAAAAAGCTTATTTCTATAGCAACATATCTCGAGCTTTCTGTAAAGCTGGGTGAAGACACTTTTTTGTATCAAAGAAACAACAGTCCCGCAAAAAAAAACGTCTGAAACATCGGAATAATTCTCCTGGCGGTGTAGAAGTAATAAAACAAATAATGCATCCAAATAGTTAACTTACCTTTTGCACCACCGCATCAATTATGCCTTAATTTACTTACCTTATGCATCAATTTCATAATTAAACGTACAATGCATGACACATCCTACATTTTCTATTGGTAAGTTTGGATTATTGCTTGTACACATTTGATTGTGTATTGGCTCACATGCGCTGTGATCAGAAGATAATGCATGAATCGCTTAGAATGTCTGCGTTTTGGAATGTTGTAATTTCTGAAAACGCGGTTCATATATCCCCCCTTCTCTCTCTGACTTGGTCCAAGAAGACAGCTACAGCGACAACAGTCGCGAGGGGCTCGCCGATGTATTTTTCATGGAATGAGATCCAGTGACTTGCCCACTACAAGTTACGCTGTAACATTTCCCCATGCATGAACCATCTATTTGAGATCCAACGCTTGATATTGGCCCTTGCCCCTAGCATCGCACGGGTAATTACTAGTTCATTAGGCCTTATACAATGCAAAGTGCTTAGAGAAATGTTTGAAGAAATAAACCTGACTTTTTTTAAGCATCGGTGCTTATTTGTACCTGATAGACGCTTGAAATAGGCACGGGTGCTTAGAAAAACCGATTTATTTCTGTAAGCATCTTCCTAAGCAAAAGCAAAGGCCTTAGTTGAAGGGCGCTGATCTGCGCCGGCGCACCGGCCCAACTGTTGGGCCGGTCGAGCACCAGCCGTCCGATGCGCTATCCCGGGCCGTCAGATCTGCGTGAGATTCCTTCGAGAAAATTCTCCCGCAGCGCAGCCGCCCCCTCGCCGCACCGCACCGCAGGACGCCCCCGCCGGTCATTGACCTCGCAGCACCCTGCACCTCGCCGCACCAGCCCCGCCACGGATGGCAGCTAGCCACCTCCGCCGTCGGCTACAACTGGGCGATGAAGCCGTCGCAACTCCGCCGCCGCCGGCCACTGACACATGCAACACTCGCCGCGGTTGCAGCTAATCCGTAAACGGACGTAGCAAAATTCAGACAATTGTAGCAAAAACGCCGCCGGAACTCGCCGCCGCGCTTGAAGCACCATGGCCTCGTGAATAGATGTAGCAAAACATGTCTCCAGTAGTAGCAAAAAACAAAGTTGTTGCAACAAAAATGTCGTAAAAAAGCACCACAGCTTCATGAATGGATGTACACAGATGGTAGTAGCAAAAATTTGACACGGTTGTAGCAAAAGATGTCTACCGTTGCCGTTGCCGGTCGCAGAAAATGGCCGCCGTTGCAAAACCAGAAGACGGTTGTAGCAAAAAACCAGGCTACTCCCAGCAAAATTAAAGGAAAATGTTAACGCCCACACGTGTGGGTGTTTGCACATGGCCCACACGCCGCCATCACCATTCATTTTGGCACGTATGAATAGATGACATCAGCAGATTTTTATTTTGGTTTTCGGCTTAAAAATGTTGTATCTCCTAAATAAAAAAGCGAACTAAAAATCCGTTTTCACCATTAAATCCGTCTTGACGAGATCTTCAAAACTAGACCCCATGTTGATATGTTTCGACGATTTTTTTTTGCCAGAAGTTGCCACGATGTTTATACTGCAGTTGCCATAGGGCTTAAACTAAAGTTGCCATGTGGCAATTTTAGTTTGTAGATCATGGCAATTTTAGTATTTTGATGATGGCAACTCCAATACTTTGACCATGAAAATTATTTTTTGTGTGAACCATGGCAATTTTACGTGCATGTATCATGGCAATTTTAGTTTATGGTTCATGGCAAGTCTAGTTTCTTAATTCCCAGTTTTACAAATGTCAAAATTTACTTTTAAATGTAGAAGAAAATAGCTGAAACATATCATGGCAACTTCAGTGTAAACATCATGGCAATTCATATGCAATAGACATAGCAACTTTTAATCCAATTTTTTTTCATCAAAACATATCAACATGGGATCTAGTTTCAATCGAATTTTTCGTTTAAGAGATAAAACATTTTAAAAACTGAAAATCCAAAAAGATTCCTGCCTGCATGCATGCGATGACGTGGCAATCTGTTTACATTAGAGACGTGTGATGCGTCTCCCTTCCTGCCACACGTGTGGCAGTTAACGCGACCCAAATTAAAATATGATAGTAGCAAAACTTGGTCGGATCTAGCAAATCAAAAAAGATGATAGCAAAAAATATTTCCGATTCCAGCAAAAAAGACACTGGTTCCAGCAAATCGTGATGCCGGTACAAGTAAGAATAAATGCCGGTTGTAGCTCATGATTTTCCGGTTGTAGCATGTTGGAGTCGCCGCCGATGTTGCTTGTAGCTCCTCGCGTTGTCGCTTCCAGCTTCTCTGACGGCAGGTTCCAGCAAAATTGCTTGTGGTTTCAGCACCGGTGGTAGCCTGCGATCATCCTTGGTCACTGCCGTCGCGTGCCACCGGTTGCCACTCCCGCTCGTCGCCGTTGTAGCATGGTCGCCGCCGTTTGAAGCGCCCAATCCCACGACGCAAGCTGGGTTGCTGCACAGCCGCGCTGATGGATGGGCGGCCGCTCGTCGGAGTAGCACGGGGCGGGTGGATGGCGGCCACTCGCCGGAGTAGCGCGGGGGTGAGTGGATGGCGGCTGCTTGCCGGAGCAGCAGGGGCATGTGGATGAGCAACGGGGAAAAGATGGGGAGAGGATAAGGAAAGGGAATAAATGGCGGAGTGAATCGTGCGGGATGATAGAGACAGGCTTAAGCGGTGATGGGTGGGCCTGTTGCCAGCGTGAACCCGACCGGCGGAGTTTCAGCCGGTCGACCGGCTTTAAACGTTTCCCTTAGTTGAAGGCGTGGAATTACGGTGGCCTCGTCGTCGTGTGCGCCACAAGTGTCCACTCCACACTCACACGGTGACATGGCCCTCGTTCCTCCACAGCCACAGAGCCACACGCTCCAAACTCGTGGTAACCATCTCGGCACCTCGTCGGAGAACAGAGCAACCTGACATTGCTCGAGCAAGAGGAAGAAGATGGCCTCGTCCGCTTCCTTGCTCCACCCTTCCACGCTCGCTCCAGCCTCCTCGCCGCGCTTGCCACGACGAGTGCCCGCCCCGGCGCTGCTCGGCCTCCGCTCCAGCCCCCGCCGTCCTCACGGCCTCTCGCTGACCGTCGCCGCCGCCGCGTCGCCGGACGTCGAGAAGGCGCCCTCCTCGTCGCCCCCTCCGCCGCCGGAAGAATCCTCCGACCTATCGGTGAGCAGCGAGCATCGCCATGGCCCGACCGTCTCCATCTCACTGACAAAACCTGCCCCCAATCTGGCTGCCATTTAAGTTGGTTTCTTGGTTCCGGTTCAGCGCAGGCCGTGGCGGAGAGCGTGAAGGTGCTCAAGGACGCCGCCAAGACGAGGAAGGTGCCGGCCGCGGAGGTGCTGGCGGCGCTGGCCAAGATCAAGAAGGCCAAGCTCGACACCTCCTTCTTGGAGACCCTCGGCGGGACCGAGTCGCCGGGCAGGACGTGGATGCTCATCTTCACCGCCCAGGTGAGGAAACGCCTGAATTTCAAGAAACAATGGGCAATTCAGCTCGAAATGGTGGCTGGTTGATAGGTTCGAGGAAATGCCTCGCAGGGTAGTAAGCTCGAGAAAGGCAGCTACTTCCCGGTGACCGCCGTCCAGCGCTTCGACGCCGCGGTGAGTGAGCTCCTTCATCGTGCCTCTCTCGCATCTCAGCCATGGCATCCGATCCTAGACAAAAATGGAACTTCTGTGAC